ATAGGAAAGATTTTTCAAAGTCAAGATTGTCGTCATTAGACAGGTAAGAAATTCCTAAAAGAGCCTTCATCGTGTTCAAATCGGCGTGCATTTTAACAAATGGCTGTTGTTTTATTCTATTTTCATTTGACTTCTGCCTTGTTTGAGGTATACTGGCAACTAATTTGTCCTTCGACGATCTGCCCACTTCCTTATCCACCCATTCATTCTCTTGCTTAGTTATACGTAAAGCGCTATTAACCTTTGAGTTGTTTAAATTTTCAGACGAATCCTTTGCATTTACTTTATTATGATGTACAATGTATTCCAACATTGTCTTTTGTCGTATTTTTCTCTTCCTTGACGTACCAGAATATGAAACAGTTGAATGATTTATTGAAAATGATTCGTTTACAACGTTTACTCTTATTTCCTTTCCATGAACGTGAAATAAATGACTTTGTAAAATTATTTTCCTTCGAAACATTCGATTGCAAAAATGACAGGAATATTTAAAAGATTTCGGCACGTTTTTATCAATCTTCAGTCTAATATGAGAGCAAGAATTCGAGAAGCAACTAGAACAAGAATAATTATTTTGTCTGGCATAAAAATTTTTATGCCGTTTTAGCTGATTCAAATTGTCGTAAGACAAAAAACATATTTTGCAATAAACAATAATCTTCTTTTCCCTTATTGTTCGTATATCTTTTCGTTGTTCTTTATTGGATCTTTTAATATCATTACGCTTTGTTAATGTTTCTTTGTTTTCATTGTTTTCATCAATTACAATGAAATCTTTTTCTTGACGAATACGCTTTACATTTTCGGTTTCCGCATGATCCATCGAAGAATACATCCTTTCGATTGAATTAATCGTTACATTACAGAGGTTCTCAGTCGGAGGACAGATATTTTCTTTCCCACCGATATTATCTTCAGTTATATTAATCGAGTTATTGTCTTCAGATTTTTTCATAGTTGGCACGCAAGTATCATATGACTTTGCATCATTTCTATCATGTGGCTCTTGTTTTATCAAGTTCTCTTCTGCGCTAAACTAAAAAAGTGCAATTAAGTTAATTTAAGATCTAAAATTTAATTGGAAACCAAATTATTGCTTGCAATGTAAATATTACGTATTATTTTTTCATATATTATCTAGAAACTTCGATGCTGTCAGAAATAAAAATATCACATTGATATAAACATAAAATCAACTGTTCATTAAGCAATAATTTGCAAAATATCAATTGCAATGAAGAAAATGAATAGCTTTGAGCAATTACTATATAAAAATATATTATGTAAAGGAATTAATTCAAAATAGAGATGCATGGGATAAAGACAAAAGCTTTTTCTATGTTTGCGCAATAGAAAAATAAGAATAACGAAAAAAGAAAAAGATGGAGAGTACTTTAAAGCCATAAGCATTAAAACTCCACTATACTGTTAAATATTACTTACTCTGGATAGGTCCTTAAAGTCCGTATTAGTATTTGCAGCTCCCAATGATTTTTTAAATTCACGAACCAGAGCCATATTAGAATATTGGATAAAATTTCAAAGATCAATTATTTTGTTTGTTATTACAGTTTTACTGTATCTTTATAACATAGAAACTTCTAATAAAACACTTCAACTAAAAATAAAAATAAAAATATTTATCGAGACATATTTTAATACAAAGTACACGTTAATAACGTTCTCCCGCAATATTTTTAATTACTAAAGAGACATATATAACAATTTTATTGGGTCGCCCGAAAAGATCGTGCCGATTTAGTCCTTACGCCACCTATCAAAAATCGGCACGAACTTTCCGCATAACCCCGAAACAAATATTTCCCAATATATAGAAAGAAACGTCCAACATATGCGTTTGAATAATATATTGAATACGGTATTTCGATGAAATTTACAATCGTACGTAAAATATATTTTATATGCTATTACCATATAATAATTTCACAGCCACGATTATAAACATACGCGAATGCACACGCTTCTACACACATGTGAATGTATGCGTGCGTATATATGTATTAAAGAAAATAATTATATAAATAAAAGCATACCTTGTATCTAAAACTTTATTATTTGATTTTAATTAATTAACGACATTCAAGAGGGAATCAGTTATATTAATTACCAGCATGCAGTGTTGCCACTACCATCGAAAGAAATCGTAACGCTCTCATATCGGTAACTAACTTGGCTGTCGCTAGTTTACCTACAAAAAACCTGAATAATAATCCTGAATTTATTATCGTAAAAAGATTGGTTCTTTTTCCTTAGGGGACAAATAAGGCGACAAAAAATTATCGATTAACTATCCTTACTACTCGTATGCTCGAGTGTTACTATACTTTTAAAGTTTCATGGTTATAAATTGTAATATCCATAATACGAAAGTTTTTCAGTTGTAAATGTCGTAGGATAACAACGTCATCCAACAAACTCCAAAGATCGCTGATATAACGGAAATAACATTATATTAAAGAAACGATAGGAAAGATTATTGTAAAATTAACTTAAATACTCATATAGGTCGAAAATTTCTTTATCATTTAAGTTTTATCCGGATATTACACACATATCACCCAGGCAAATTATTTATATGTATATTATAATTTAATAATTATAAAATATTATATCCTGAATACATTTATTTAAGATATTTCTCTTATTAATGTTATTAACTATTACAAGAATATATTAATTGTACGATGTTCATTACAAAATTCTAGATACTATTACTAAGACTAACTTGAAATTTTATAATATTATAATAATTTAATTAAATTGTATTATTTTAATTACCTTATAAAACATTTGTATTTATTACTGTTTATTTTGCTTTTCGATTATTTTGAAATGGGAAAAATAAATTCCTAGGATGCAATCGTATTTTTAGTTTGAATGAATGCTCTACTTATTACCTAAGATCATTACCGCATTAAACGTCGGGATGGTTATTGTCCATACGATTAATAATCTTATCAGCAATATCCTTTTAATTCCCAAAAATTTGCAATTATCCAAGCAATTCATTCGAAATAATACTAGTAGCAATCTAGTCAATGCTTGACAATGTAGCTTCCTTTTATAACATCTTAAGATATTTTTAACTTTATAAAAATTACTTAACCAAATAGATATATGATATAAAACGATATATGCAAATTTAAGAAATTATTAATGTGTTTAACAATTGTCAATATTAATACTAACAACAAATTAATGTATACTCTGTTTATGACTTTTGTCGGATCATTATTAAATTTTTCGTGGATATTTTTCATTATACACGAAAAGAAATAGAATAAATATGAATTTATTATAAGTATATAAATATATGTAGTAAGGAAAAAAAATTATATAATCATTTAATCGAAGTTATTTACTAGTGAACATGCCGAGAAAGGAAATGTAAGAGGATAAAATTGGCTGAGTTAGCAAATTCAAAGTCATCACTACATGAAAGTGCTTTTATTTCTTTCAGAGATTGTTCATTGCGATAACCGACGTCAGGAATGCCGCTCTAAAATTTTTCTTTCTTTTTCTTTATACTTCTATACTCTAATAAGCGACTCTAATTATCTAGTAAAATATCGTCTGATATTAAAAAATACGCATGGCTATGTAGATACGCAAGTACAACACGCGTCAGGACGGCAGGAATCCTGGTGCAGCGTAACTTCAATAATGATTTTAAAACGAAGGTTGAATGTACAATATATAAATTTACACTTATCGTTTGAGCAATAACAATTTTATGGTACGTAGATCGCAAAACTTAAATAAAAAAATGGCAATGATACATCACGTATTGGAGGGAAGAGCTTAAAACACTACGCAAAGGAGTGAGAGAAAATAATAATTCTTCTATCTATGATTATTCTAATGTACGATTCGAGGAAACATCTACAAAATGTATTTATTTGACGTTTTAGTGATGTTTTTCTTTTTCTTTTTCCTTTTTTTGTCCTTTATGTGTAATTTGCTGCTCTTTTGTAATTTACAAAGCGAGGATGATCGGGTTTTAAATTGATCGATTAAACCTTTTCTAATAATTCTTACTAGACAAATTAACTGAATAACATCGATTTCTCTAAAGACATTAATCTACTTATATCGTATGACTCATATTAAAAAAGGATACTGATAAAGATATTTCAAGGGTCTGGTCGGTAAGCAATGATAATTCTTTTGGTTTTTATTTCGCTTTTTTTGTATTAAGATTGTTTACATGAGAAAGGAAACGACATCACACTTTTTTCGTTTAATCGTCATTTAATAACCTTGTTAAACATTAACAAGGCATTTATATGGATCTTTGTTATGTCGATTTTTCAACATTATCTTTCGTAAGTCAGAATATTATATTTTCATTTAAGATTTATAAAAACTATCATCGATGGCATCTATCCGGGAATTTCATTTGGATTTGATACTTTAGGAGTAGACTTTTGTTATTATTGGCTACACCGTAGCGATCACGGTAAGTCGTCACGTCAAGTTTCTCTATCTCTTTCTCTCTTTCTTCCTCTTTCTGACTTCATACGTTTGACTTTATTCGCAGACTTGGCCCAAACGACTCTCTAAGAAAGTTTACATTTTGGGCCAGTTATCCTTGTTTCGGTGAAAGAATTCATCATAGCTATGAAAATAAATCCTGTTTGTTAGAATTAAGGAGATATTGATAAAGTATGGATTAAAAGGAATGAAAGGAAATTAAAGAAGACAATGATATTCCTTTGAACGTATAGTATTCTGGAGTAACTAAATAAAATACGTGTTTTGTTGTATATGTATATTTTGTAAATGCTTAAACATAGTTTGAAATGCCAATGAAGAAATCAACAAATGATTTACATTCAAAATATTTGATACTTGTATCAAGTATATTTCAAGTTAGATTTTTGTTTTCTTTATAATGACAAAGTTATTGAAATTGTTATCACAATTGTTATTACACTTATTCTACATATTGCAACATTTTGTTATCAGTCATCGTTATTAATATTCGTAACAATATCTGTATTTTCTGTGCGTCGTCTATTTCAGATACTTTCTGATTTATCACTTTTATTTTTGATTTTTATTAGATCTCTTTAGAAATATATCCTTTGCTTTCTCTTATTCTATTCCTTTTATTTGTAACTCAAAGTTACTATACCTTTTTTATTTAACTTCTTCCTTCTTGGTTCCCTTAAACTTGCTAAATTTTATTCACTAATTTTATCATTTTTCGTTATATCTTTAAGTTTCTGAGCTTGATGAATTTTAATCAAGGAATTATAAAATTTCCCTGAAGCTGTACCCTGAATTCTCATTCTATTTTTTACAATTTTCGATTTCTATCATATTTTTCAAATCGAATATATCCTTAGCTCTTTCACTTTCTATATGTTTTGAATTTTCTTCTATTTTTTTTTTCTATTAATTACTTTACTTTCTTACAATAAAGTGCGACATGACAGTTGTTGAAAAATACTTTCTACTGTAAAATATATATTTATAAATTGGACAACATATTATCATCTATAGAAAATAATAGAATAACATGATAACTTATTTATATTATACAAGGAACATAAAAAACGGGGAAACATTAAATGGCCAATGTCTGAATGCAATATATAAGATAAATGCAATATACACAATTGAATGACTCAATGAAATACTGAAATTGTTATGATTAAGGTGCTAATTTTGCTAATCACAAGTACATTAATTATATATATTACTTGATAAAGCCTACTTACATTTTCTTCTTTTTTAAATTTTGTAGCACTTTTATCTTGCGTTTCCGATACGGTTTGCGACATAGCATAAGGAATTTCGAGTGCAATTTTGAATGTTCTAAACAAATAAGATTATAAATAAACTATAATATATTGATAATACATAGTTATTTTGATAATTAAAAATATATGAAAACATTATTTGTCAATTTGAATATTATTCTACCAAACTGTTATTAATTATAGCGTAACTCTTATTCCAGATCATGAGATGTTATACCACTAGTATCTTCAGAGTCAAAATCATTTTCATCGCTAGCAATCTATGATTTTATAACGAATAAATTATAAATGTATATTATTAAAACATATTCTTTTTTTGTATTAGTATTTTAAACATATATAATATTTTTATACTTCTAACTTATCATTAAATTTATGATGTAATTCACCATCAGATTCATTATTACTATTGGATAAATCAGATAAATCTAATAGAATTTGATCATTTTCTTTTAAATACAACAAAAATTCTAGATATGTTTCCTTTAGCTTCTTCATTCATGATTTCTTCTATTCTTTTTGACTCATATCACTATCACTCCTTTCAATATCATCGGCTTTTTAAACCTCATTATTTCCTAATTATTAAAAGCATGGACTTTAGAATCATATATATATATATATAAATATATATGATTCTGTCAATCGTCATTCTTCTTACTATTAACCAATGTCTCCAAAATTTTTTTGTTCAATATATTCATCCTTTTTTCCTCTTCTAGTAGATATTGTTGAATTTTTTATTCCTTTCTTCGTCTTCTTTATTTTCATTAGGTATAACTGAAACTAAATACACAAATAATTAATTAATAACATGTTAATCGTTGATATCTTTAAATAATTTAAAAAAAGATAAGTATATCCAATATTTCATTTTACCTTTAGGTTATGTACGTAATATATATATATATATATATATATATATATATATATATATATTTTTTTTATATTTACAATATCCTTTGAATTGTACTATTTATTTTAAAAATATGTTATTAATACTTGACAGCTAGAACGTCACAAGGTTAATCCATCAACATTGTATAACCATTATGATAGATCAACAGAAACTCAATTTAGAATTAAAATATCATAAAATATTCATGAGAGTATGATGCTTACTGATTCCACCAATCAAATAATCATATTGTCAATGGACGTGTTTGCAAAGTATGTTAGATTATAGTTCGATGAGTTTCGTATCTAGATATCGCTACGTACATGTTTATAGGCAAAAGAAATCGATTTTTAAATCGACTATCCGTGTTAACGAGTATCAGAAAAATCGCCAGTATTTCATAGTTAAATTAATATTAATCTATATAATATGTAAACGCAAAATAATTATTATGTTATGAAAAGGTAAATAATTAAATGACTGTGAACAATAGATATCAAAACGGCCGCCAATAAGGATCTAACAGAGTACTATCTTATTCGTTTAGGTATATTTTCCGTTTATTTTTATATATGCATGTATTACATATCTTCTTTTCCAATTTAAATATTTATTATTACAAGTATTTGCCACTATTACACAAGTATAATAATCATTGATAATTAAACTAATAATTAGATATAATTCTATACTATTCCCTATTTTTGAGCAGGATTAAGTGATACTGTAAATGCAGTATTCAAATCAATTGGGCTAATGACATGGGATTCAGTAAATGTGATAAATATCTTGATATGTGGATTATGCAATGTAACAATAAAAGCTTAGGAATCAAGAAGTATTTTTCTATTAATCTTTTTTATCTTTTATTTCGCACGATTTCTTAAGATCCATAAAAATTATTTTGCATGATATTTATCTATCATATTTGAATAATATTTCATCTTCTTTTCCCTGATTAATTTAATCACTATATTTCTTTCCGTTTTGTACTGCAACCAATGCTATTACATATCCTCGTATATTATATTATTATACGGTTCATCCATTTTTATATTTACCGTTATTCTTGTATTATCTGAAAATCATTGTTTTCCTTTCCATACTTTTGGGATTCTAAACTTTTTCTTAGGTGCTATGATGTTCAATGCCTCTCTTATGTCATCAGCAAATTTCTTAGTTTTGCTATTTATTGCATTATATCTTGACCTTGCCCTATTCTGTTTTTCACCAAACTAACAAATTTATCTACACTAAATTTACTATAGTTTCTAGCAATAAATTATCTATACTTATTTCCAGTTTTACTCGTATATAAAACAGATTTTAGCCACGCACGATCTGCTACTGCATTCATGATAAACTACTTGTATTTTCAGTTTATTAATACCAAAAAATAAATCTATAATTGTTTGACTATACTTTGTGATTCTTGTCGGTTTATTAATATACTGCTTCATACCTAAACTTAATATCATCGTTTACAATTTCTTTGTATAGAATGAGTCTACCATAAAGTCTATATTAAAATTTCTCAATACTATACATTCTTCTTTGTATGTATATTCTTCTATACATTCCCTACATTATACTATTTCTTCAATACTATACATTGCGAATTTCTTTACTATATCTAAAAGCTCACAAAATCACCGTATGATGGACTCGGTAAATGATATAAATGACTACCGTTATTGTTCCTTTATACAATTTTTCTTTTATTCTTATTGCAATACACCAATAACATTTTATCGTCACTAATATTTCATATTTAACATCATTTCTTTCATATGATATTGCTACTTTTATTACTATTTTCAGAATAGCATCTAATCACATTATAATTCCTCGTATATTCACCTCACTATCTTCAGTTTCAGGTAGTACTATAAATGGAGGAATCAGTTTCTTCATAATCTGATGTTGTATCTCGAATTTATGCGCTAACAAACTTTGTACATTTGTATATAATATTAACTCTCTTTTCTATAATCGCTATTTCATATTTTCCCAGCCGGCTTTCCTCTTCTCTTCCTCTATCGCTCTCATGAATGTTGGACATCCAGAACATTATGCTCCTCATTTATCTTCAAATTATAGATTTTATTTTTGTATAAACAGTTCACACACTTCTCTTTCTTAGCTTTACACTCACTGTTCTTACGATCATCATCATATTTCAAACATATTACTGGTTGTGTACAATTTTTCCCAGGATGATAAAAACTCCAACATTTAAAACATATCTTTACGTTTATATAATTAGCAGCATAACATTTTCTTCATTCAATTTTCCTATTCTTCAACATCGTCGCATACATTGCATCATCCATCTCAACTATCAGTGTACCATCTCCCCTCTTCATTTAAACCATACTACTGTCTTCATTCTGTTTTCTAGTAATTTTTTTCAAAATTTTCATATAAAATCCTTTTATTGTTTTGTTCAAATGATTTGTTTTATTATCATTTCTATTATCTGCTTCTTTTCACATTCCATTTTCTTTTTGCTCGAATTGATAATTTTCAATTTAGTTTGAATACCTTTTGGCTCTATAATTTGATATTCCCTTTACTCCCTATTCATTTACACCACTTGATTTTAATTGTTTTAATTCTTGCTCACTTTTACAAGCTAAGATGAGTGTCCCTTTTCCTCCTTTTTTCAACTTTGATACACATACTTGATATCAATTTTATTCTTTATCTTTTTTTGTCTTCTCACTCTCCCGTTATTCCTTTTGCTTTATTATGATAATATTTCCTTTTTTCCTTTCTTTTGTCACATCACAGTATCTGCGCTGGGCAACTTTGCCTGACATCATATTCCACATTTTCTGCATCATTTCTTTCATTTTTTTCATTTCTTTCTTAAAGCTCTCCAACTCGTCTTTGACAATATCTGTAAATTATGCTCTGTAGTATCAAAAGATATAATGGATACTAGGATAGATATATGACGTTAATATTATCTATAAAAAAACATCACAGGCCAAGGAAATATTATAAATGTCGGTTATTTATTTCAAGTAAAAGGAACAAATGAATAAAACAGATGTCTACTTTGATTCCGGTCTTGGATTGTCCCTTCTGTCACTTACAATTAGGTATCTTACTACTTGGACCACTCACCCCACTCGGTCATACACTTACATACTTTTAATACTATGCCCATGTACAAAATATTGCGCACAACATTCTTAAATCTAGGTTCCCACGCAACAATCACTCTAAGCATTTATCCACTATCTCTAAATTTATCTTAAAGAATATTTCTATAACTATTTATTGATTGACATCTGGTAAACATTCGTTCAGCGTACATTTACAATCCTATCCTAAGCTTATAATTTGTGGCTCTCAAAAACTTTGCCTTTAAAGAAAACTTAAGTACATTAATACCTACATTATGATCCTACGTGCTCTTTATTTAATTTTTTTTAATAATCTCCTCCCTAAATTTTCTAATCAACCATTCAGTCTCCATTCCAGAATTATTTATATGTATCTTCTTTGTAATCAACGTTCTTCGTTCTTTATCTATCCCTGCTTTTCCCTAAGTACTAGTACTTTTGGAGTTCGTAACCTTTATAGAGTTTGTGACATCTTGGATGAAAAATTTTCCCACATTGTATGCAATTAATCAGCTGGAATTTTATTTTCTTTCTAGACTGTTTCCTACATACCTGCTTCCCACTACGCGAGACATCCATTTCTCTTTGTCAAATTTTTCCTTATCAACTATTAATTCGTACTATCTTAAATGTCACCAACAGGAGCAGCATCGCACGATAAGTCAGCAAGACAATTCTTGAAATTCTCGCCCCCATTCCGATTCTGTACTCAGATTCTGGTAAGGGGATCATTGCAGGATGCCAAGCCCAGTCTGGCTAATAGATGACTGGAATTCGACTATGGTGCTGCGAATTGAGGGAAGAGCTGGACTTGAGGGAAGGAGAAGCGATGACCTCGATAATGGAGGACTCTGGTGATTTTGGCCGCTTCAAGGAGTCATTGTGATATGATGCCCCAAGCATGCAAATGGCGCCCAGTTGGGAATGGGTGAGTGGTTCCAAGGTTCTACTATGGAATACAATAGACGTGTTTCAGATAATACGCGTAAGACAAGTCATTGACCGTTTGGCAAATAGGCTATAATCAGAACTTTGCCGATGACAAATACAGGTGCATATGTCTGCAAAGGCGGCTACAAAATGCATCAACCATATAAAGCGGAACTCAACTTTTTTGAAGACATCAAAGTTATATTGGACCCATGTAGTGGATACGATGGGTTTATGTGTTGTAGTGTCTGTGGCATCAAAAAGTCCGAAAACGTATTTTACGTCTAGCCTATTCGAATGGGAACGAATAGTAACATGAATATACCATTAATAACAACTGGTACATAAGGGTAACATTAAGGATATCAATAACCTAAAAGTATTGAGTTTGCAAAAGAAAAAGATTAGAACTGCAGAAAGTTCAAGTGCTTTTGTGTGAAAGCTTCAGTGAAATTGAATTTAATAGCCACACCTACGAACGTGTAGACATTAAAGACAAAATTTCAACAAGGCCTAAGTGATATTTTATCAAAGATGAGACTAATTTTCAAACTGGACACAGAAATTTGGGATAGACCAAACGACAATTGCGTGAAATAAAGAGATCCAAGATACCTACCTATTTGCTATTGTATCCTTGCATACGTAGTATAAGATACCAATATATCAGCCTGTGATGGAATATAGAATGATTGGATGGTCAGAATTCCATAGGAGTGGCACTGGCAGAATTGTTTACAGTTGCAGCTATAGGAGCATTGGAAAGTTTGTGTGTGTGTGTGTGTGTGTGTGTGTGTGTGTGTGTGTGTGATGTAAATAGTTTAGTTAACATTGGTGTAATAGCTTATAAGAAAGAAATGCGTGAAATGTTACTTTTAAGAAAAAACGTTAACATAAAAGAAATCGATAAAAGAAGTGAGCTCACGCTTTGTCTCTCCAAACTCGTATAGTATGTAATTTTTTGTGAATGTACTTTGATTAAAATTATTATTTTTAATCAATAAAAAAGTGTTAAGCTTCGTGTGTTATTTATTTCACGTGACTATTATCCACACATGGAACATGGTCCTTCGAGCTGGATATTGATAAATATTAGTGAAAAAAAATCGTGACAAACAACAATAAACAGTTTTCATTCTCGCACTCACTATAGATAATCATTCGTGAGAATGTGGTGAAACAAACGTGGAGACATCGTGACTATATCGAGCATTTTAAAAGCAATTTTTGTCTCAAAATTCGTCGATTTCAACGCAGTGCGTAGTACAAATATATTTGTGCGTAGTATAACGGGACACTATTACATTGTACATTCTCATAATCCCATGTGTGCCATACATTATAAGGTATTCAACGAGAAGTATTACGCTATAAAATCTTTACGCGACAGTAGCATGCGTCAAAACGAGAAAAAACACGTTTCCAAATCAGCATCGCGAACGACAACAGTGAAGCAACAATGGACTACAGCTCGATGAAATTTCACGGCGGCCGGTTCAATTTTCTTTGGCGTTTGGTAAGTCTCCAATCATATTTTTATTCTCTTTTCCTCATTCACTCCTATACAATAGCACTGTCTCGATGTCATAGTCGTTTGCCGAACGTCGTACGGTTAACATCGAAGCTCTCTCTGCTCCCAGCTACCTGCGCTATCCAAGCGGTACAGTGAGTGCGGAATGAGACGAGAAGTGACGTGCTATGAAGCTACGTGCGTTAGAGAGCGATTTTGCGAAAGGTTTATTCTATTATTTTTAATTATAAAACATTGTAACGATTGATTACGAAAAAAAATTGTAACGATTTCAGTGGAGAACAATGACTGTGCGAGGAATCTGTCTCGCGTAATGAACGCCACCGACGATCAGATGTCGACGGTGGAAGAAAGAGGCAGTTTCTCCTTGGTGGAACGGAGGAAGAAGAAAGAAAAAAAGAGGAAAGCGCAGAAGGTGATCGACTCAGACTCCGAGCCGATCAAAGAAATCGATATAATGCCTACACCGGTGGCTCTCAAGAAGAAGAGAAAAGCGCCAAGAAACGCGCAGGTCGTAGAATCTGCCGTGGAAGACGAGGAGAGAAGCTTAATAAGCCTAAAAGAGAAGTCTCGGCCAGCATTCGATAGAATGCTGAACTTAGTTACGGAAGCTAAGTTGGAGAACTCACTAAAGAGGAAAATTCGCGCCACGGCAACGGAGCTGAAAGAACTCGTCAACGAGGCACTGATAGCGAACGGAAGACTGGAGGATAAAATTGAATGCCTCCAGACAGACATCATGTGGAAAACACCAAGAGGATGGCGAAAACGGTGCAAGAGACCATCCAGGAAACCATTTCTGCCGAAGAAGCCGTTAACCTACGCGGAAAGAGTGGGTGTCAAGGCCAAAAATGTTGCAACGGCTAGCATAATGAAACCGAGGAATCTTATAACAATCTTGCCCGGCAAAAACGAGAGCCTAAAAAGTAGCGAGAACTTAAAAGAGGCTCTGAAGAAAATGGTTATTCCGCGCGAAGAAGGTATAGGAATACGGAACGTGCGGAAGATCAAGAATAACGGGTTATTGATAGAGACGTTGAAGAAACGGAACATAGAGACAATTATGAGGAACGAAAAGATAAGGGCAACAGGGATGGAAGTCGGTCTTCCAGCGAAGAGAAGCACGTGAATCATCATCTTCTCCGTACCGAGGCCCACTAATGATGAAGAGGCGAGGATGGAGATACTAAAGCACAACTTCGAAGGCGAGGAATTAAAAATGCTGACGAAAAGCAGCAAGGTGACTTTGAAGACGGGAGATAAGAAAAAAGACATCTGCAACATTGTCCTAGAAGTTTCGAAGGAGGCCCGCGAGGGAATCTTAAGGAAAAGAGAGCGGCTATATGTCGGCTGGGGTTATTGCAAATTCCAGGACTACATCGCGCCAACCAGATGTTATAAGTGCCAATCATGAGGGCCCAATGTGCATAAGGGCACATAACACGGCACTTCAAAGCCGAAAAAGAAACATGTGGACATTGCGGAGCCGATAGACACTCTCACAAAGAATGTAAGGCGAAGGGAAAGCCCGCAATTTGCGTCAACTGCAAGCGAGCGGGAAAACCCTAGGTACATTCTGTGACAGATAGAGAGTACTTCGCATACAAGGCAGTAACGCAGGTAATAATCGTCAAGACTGATTACGGTCAATAGAACTGTATCTGACCCGGCCGGGGCCATAAACCGCACTAATGAGGTCGTAAAACCGGCGTCGGATCAACTGAGGATTTTACAATTTAATACGAGGAGGGCAGAGTCGTAACGGAAAAAGTCCTGCAATTTATGGGTAAGGAAAACATAGATGTTTTGTTATTACAAGAACCATATGTTTGTAGGAACAATATTCCGGGTTTCGAACTCTGTGTAATTACCACCATTCACGAAGCTAAAATGGCGGCGAGAACGACGATGGGCAGCCATCGTCATTGGGAAAAGAAACATCTCGGCGGTGAAATTCTGGCATCTTTCGAACGCGCACTGGACGTGTGTGCAACTACAATTTGCGACGACAAGCATGTATTTTCCACCATCGGAGCCAATCGACTCCCACCTGCAATTGGTGAGAAAGATCGGAACGGAACTTCTAGGCGAAAAGTTAATCATCGATGCGGACGTGAATGCCAGATCAACGATCTGGCACAGCAATGAGCGAAGACGCTCGAAACGACCGAGGACTATTGCTCAAGTTACTGATTTCTGAACTGAATCTCATTGTCATCAACGAGGCAGGCAATCCGCCAATATACAGCTCGCCACGAGGAACGTCGAACATCGACGTTATGCTCGCCACGGAAAACATAGTGCCGTTCGTAAGGAATTGGAGAGTCGAGGAGGGTCTCACACCTCCAGCGACCACAATGTCATTTTGTTCTTCCTCGAGAAAAGCGGAAACAATAGTTACACGCTGCAAAAACTACGATTCTCCGTCGTTAACGCCGACTGGGAAAGCTTTGACGAGGAACTCGTGCGAAGAGCGCACCAATATTCCTTCAATTATTCCTCCTCCAATTAACAAGCAACGGCAAACAAAGCCGACTTCGTCCAACATCACAGTTCAGATTAACAAATGCCCTATTTACAAGGACAAGGATTTTGTGTTCAAGTGCGAAACTTTAGTGAAGATTCCGATTCTCGAGCACGCAAAGGCAGCCAGGGACAATTAACTGTGTCTTGTTTACGATCTACTTCGCATCGCGCGAAAGTTTGTCAAGCCGGTAGTTGCAAAAATTACACAACACAAATATAACACACTTCTGTATCTCGCGACATCATCAAATCCACAAAGCGATCCACAAGGCAAAAACTCATCAATTGGGAGTCTCTGCGTCAGATTGTATCAATAGCCATGCATGCGCTTCATGATTATGATAGTTTATAAATCCGGTTGTTCACTATGATCATCCAGGTGTTGGATGTCGACGGAAATCCCTTTCCGTCAATTTCCGTTGGACAGATTAAGGTCACTACAGATCATCCTGTCCTTCAAAAAAACTTTTTTCAGTTAGGTATTGGACGGGGATCGACCAAATTGACGAAACAGATTGGACCTCGCATTGTTTGCAATCTTATTAACAGCTGAATATTTTTAACATTTCACGAACGCCAGAACTCTCTAACCGCTTAATTTCTTGCCTTACGATTTAATTTCCAATATCGCGTGCCATAAACGACAACAATGTCGGTTCCATGTCGGGCCATTCACGATTTGGCTGAGTGTTCGAAGATGTAATTATTGAACAAGAAAGATTTATTGTCTCACAGTGAATATACATTAATAACATTTTTATTTTTATTTCTAATAAATAAACAGATATTTAAGAATATCATCGTCTTAATAAAATTTAAAAAATGTAATAATCTTCGATTGTATGATATTTTTCAAAACATTTTGATACATGTAATGTAATTTTGCATTCCCACGTTTTCGTTTCGCTACATTGTTTATACTTTCTACAAACTATACAGGCTCTAGTAGGGGGTTTAATTTCAACGGTGTTGGATCTATGATGGCTTGAGAAAATGAGCCCAATGTTGTGCGTGCAATCTCTGTGATAAATCTCCATTTGATAATCGTCCTTTACGATTGTATTTCAGTAACGGTATATTTTGCAACAATGATTCGGCTATTTTAATTCTATATTTTGTGTAACTCTTTCTTTTTTCATTACTTATTTTATTATACAAAATGTAAAAGTTAAATAAAGCCATATCAAAGAGGTAAAAGAAAATTTTGCAATATCCTTTCATACACTTTCTCATCGCAGGGGAGCATGTTAACATTTGATCCTGTCAATCAATTCCTATCATCCCTTTATTGTATTCGATGACACATTTCGATTTCCAAGTAGGATTGCGTTGATTTTTCTCTGGCTCAATCATTGCTGCTGTTATGTGTTTTATAGAAAGAATAAGAACGTCTCGTGTGTCCTTCTATTTTAGTGCCATTACTGCATTACAGCTTCTCATTTTATATTTCCCTTTTTTAATGTTGTCTTCAAGAAATCTTTTGGCATATTTTTTCTATTCGCGCACACTGTTCCAATGACATTGATTTTACTGGTTGACTAGTGTTCAACAAAAAATTTTGTTGAAGAATACCAATTGTCCAAATATAAAGTGTGTCCTTTGTGTAATAGCGACTTTGATAGTTTTTTAACAATATTTTCGAATGCATTGTCACTAGAATTTATTTTCTCACTACCCGTGTATATTTTGAAATCATAGCAGTAAGCCAAACTTGATTCGCATAATTTATAAACTTTAATACCAAACTTGGCCCTTTTTGATGGATTAAATTATTTATAGGATAAGCGTCCTTCAATTATATACTTATTTGTAAAAATCTTCTTAATGGCATCGTTTTCCTGAATATTGGGATTTCTATAACGGCCCTTTTAGACCAATTCATTTGAATTGTAGGTTCCTTTACTTCAGCCATAATTATACATAGCCCAATATATATTTTTCTTTCATTACGGTCGACAGGAGATCAAATTTCGTTTATTTTCAGTTTTTTATTTCTATACATTCCTATTACTTGTTCCGCATATCGATTTGTTTCCGTTATAATATTTTCCCCAAATATACTATTAAATAAAAACGTCTATTTCCTTTTTCCTTGGACTCAAGTAATCTAAAGTTTTTTGATTGATTATCTTCTTCTTTCCAAATCCACAACTCTGATTGTTGATAATAATTTTCATAATCGAAATCATCTTCAATCACCAGTCGCTTATAACGTTTCCGTACAACAGATAAAATGTCACTATCACTGTCACCATTATCATCTAAGAAACCTTGGAAATCATTGTTGGGGATGTTATCACACTGTCCTTGTCAATGCTAATTTTTCTTTTTGAATACACATTGTGAAGGGTACTTTTGTAATTTTTCTTACAAAGTAAGTCTGCAGTTCTAAATGCAGTAAGCAAAAATGAGTGAATGTTGCGTGTAGCCCGATCAGCTCTACAACGTCTCTGAGACGTTTTATTTACATTTGACACGGCCGCCCTACTACGTCTCTGACACGACATTGTAAGTTAAGTGGTTAAAGCTTCTTTGAGTCCGGCTTAACATCCCCAATAAATATACGACTTAGAAATTCACATTTATCTGGCTGCAGCTTCAAATAGGTTGCTCTTAGTCGTTCGATTAATTTGTTAAACTTAATTTCATATTCTCGAAGCGATCTCGGGTACAAAACTAGGTCATTAAGATAAACAAACATTTCTTCGTCCTGGAGCACCGTCAAGAATAAACGGTCCTGAGTAAGCGCTGAAATTTTGCCGGAGCTTTTTTAAGGCCAAATGACATTACGTGCGAACTTATAATGACCATATGGCGTTGAGAATTTGTGGCTATCTTTCGGGTGCATTTCTATCTGATGGAATCCTGACTTTAAATCGAAAATTAAAAAATATTTCGCTAGAGCCCAACTGATCTAAAATTTCGGTAATATTTGAAAGAGGATAAGCATCTTCAATAGTTTTCTTTCGTTTAGTCCTCTATAATTGATCACCATTTTCCATTGTGTTCCCCTTTTTTTGAAACTACCCAAATTGGAGAAATATAAGGTGAGACTGTTGGTTAGATGATTTCATCCGCCAGAAGTTCTGTTGTTTGTCTATTGATTTACTCTGTGTGCACCGGTGATCGGAAATCTATACTGTTTCATGTTTATTGAAATTTCGTCGGTCGTAATGTATTTTACGTTCTGTGGGAAATTATTCTCTAAACGTTCTTCTGATAGATGAAAACAGTCACTAAAGCTAGTCGTTAAAAGTTTCAATACACTTTTTCTTTCTTCTGAATTAAAGTAATCGAATCGTAAAGGTGACTCCACCTGAGCTGTCCTATCTTTATTATTTATTTCATTCAGTTCAGGCTCACACCGAAAATATAATACTTATTCTTATTACTGGCCACGGAAACAGCAAAAATAATTCTAACTGAAGTATATCGAATCTCAGAACTTGTGTTGTTATCAGATTTAGGACTATTCTATACGGGGTTATTTTGCACAAGATTTTCTGAAGCTCAGATTTTTTATTTCGTCAGATCCTCTCTAGCATGAAGTTGTGGAGTTTTTATTTCAGCTCGCGGATATTTTTTCGCATAATTCACTGGATTTCGAAGCTTGTAAGGTACTATTATTTCATAATCATCGTCAATGGTATTTATTGCTTTAAAATACGCCTGTCTTCTATCATTTTTGACTAAAGCATCTCCTATATATATCCCGGGCAAAGATTCTAATCAGAGAATGTATGCCCTCTTTAAATTCTTGGTTTTCTACGTGGGATCGGGAACGTGAATTAGCTCTCGATTAACAAATGGTATTTCTTAATATTGATGATTCTTGATCTCTATTGGCTCTATTCACGCTCGTGTTAGCTTCTTTGAAAAATTCAATTACCAGAATTCCGTCCTGTTCTATGAGAAAGCTGTAGGATCTACCAAATGAAAGCGGACTGATTATTCCAAAAAGATTTATGTATTATGAGAGTATAGATGTGGCTGCTCATAATTTCGATAATTTTTATTCTCTCACTATCATCTACCTTCTTTTCTATTTTAATGATTTTTGATTTCAACAAGTTGATTTTCGAGCCGGTATCGATCATAAAAATCACTGCTTTACAAAATTTCGTCGTATAAAAATATATCGATGGTGCTTTAATCATAGGCCGATAGCTAATTATCGTGATTCATCGGTACTCGTTGCTTTCGTCACTAGTAGAGAACGAACAATTTTTGGAACGGCTTCGCCCTTGTCAGTGCGAGACGGGCCGTTTACGGGATTTCCTGGAACGGCACTTCCTGTTCGACGCTTGTTATTATATTTGAGCCTTGTCCCTAAATTTCAACATTCATTATTACATTTAAACTTTCGATAATCTCTTCTAATATGCCCGATCTTTCTACAATAATGACAGATTTTGGTTTCTCTCGAATTAAAAGACTTCGAATTCGGTCGACTATTATTTGTGCTGTTTCTTAAACTTCTATCACGAGGAGGAGGTCTAGCAGCGACCACGACATAGGAAGATGGGTCTTTCAACATTTCGCGGCGATGTATCATATATTACACAATGGTGTCCGTCTATAATGATTGCATTAACTCCTGCAGTATAATATCATGCAGGCATTTTCGTCCTTTCATGATCCCATTCCACTTGCTTTTTCGGAGAAGAGCAGTTGATGCAGAAGCTAAGTCAAAATGGTCCTATAATTTTAATGGGTCTTAATTCTGTAACTCATTCTCGAAGCATTCGAGAGTTTTAACTTCGATTCACTAACGTACTCCTACTGCAAATTTACCTAAAAGTTCCTTCAATAATAGTCTGTTTAAAATTTCTGATTCGTCCTGCATAATCTAATACGTGCTCATTGTTTTTTTTTTTATATATGCTTGCCAGTTGTCCTCTATAATAACTAATGGATTTTAATGGTTGAAATGCCGATTTTAACACAGATCCTAATTGGTTTGTCGTCGTTAAATTCTCTTCTTTCACTACCAAATATTCGTGTTCGTCTAATTTAGCACGAATCATCCTTACCAATACGTATTCAGATTTGGCTAAAGGATAACTTGGAAATAGTTCTAATGCGCATTTGCATGCTCTCGTAAATTGATGTATTGGAATATTGTGTCCGTTGAAATGTGGAATTGTCTCAGTTATTCTTTCAATTTAAACTGTGGAGCACTTGCTTGAAATGAAGATATCAAATTGTATCGACCGTTTGTTCTTTCTTCCATTACATTTCGAAGATTTTCCCTTAATCTATTTACTTCTCGCCTCGATGCTTCGAGATTTGGTCTTAAGTTATTTCCAGAGGAATATCGAATTATCCGCAATTAACATGAGGTGAACTATAAATAATATGGATTTCGCGCGTTTCATCTAACGTTATAAATTTTTCGTGTAGAACCAGTTCTTTCCCGACGGAGTAATGATACTTCATGATCCTCTAGTTCAGTACATCGATTTCGCAAATCTTTCTCGATCGTCTAGTTCGGCAAATAAATTTCTCTCGCGATCTTTTAATTCGGTACGTAAACTTTGATTTGCATGATCTTTCAGTTTAGGCAATAATAACGGATACAATACAGCTGATAAGTTTAATATATAGGTGGAGTGCGAAGGGACGAGTGAGGTAAAAGTTGAGTTATATGTGGGATAGAGATCGCGAAGCGACATGTAGCGTATGCAAGCGAAATGTAGGACGGCGGGCCAATAATGTGAATAGCCGAGTAGCGAGCGAGTGTCTCACGGCGAGACAAAGATAAAGAGTAAAAATAAAGAAGGGCTAAAAAAGGCAGTTAGCGTCTAGCAGTTGAATAACGAACACATCCTAGTCTACCAATATAGCTCTTAGCTTTTCATTTATCAGAATATATTGCATTTCCGTAAATATGGAAATACTGATTAGTCGAAGGACACGAGTAGAAGAATTATGTATATTACTTAAAGAATAATATATTAATAGAACTTTGAAATGATTAATATAAAGGATTTAAGGGAAATTGTTATAAGGCTGCCGGAAAAGTAAAGAACTGAAGAGGAAATAATTACCGATCTATTAAAGTTGATGTTTTATGCAATAAAAAAGAAAGTTTGTTGAAATAATGAATAGTTCTTTGAAAAAAGGGTTGCTGTCCAGAAAGTTGAAAAACGTCAATGATAATACCGAAAATAGAAAAAAACAAAAAAGCAAATAATTATAGACCGAAAATGCTATCAATATATGAGAAAGAGTTAAAATTCGTGATGAAGAAACAAATGGGAATGTATTTTGAGTTTAATGGTATTGTAATCAGGCATCAGGTTTTAGAAAAACTGAAAATCTGTTGTTGACAAATGAAAAGTAGTAGTAAGTTGGAGGGAAAAATGTTGGGTATAATTTTTATAGATCTTAAGAAAGCGTTCGAAATAGAAGATAAAAAAAGATTATTAGAAAAATACTTATTGATTCCTAAACTTTTATTGTAACATTGCATAATCCACATATCAAGATGTTTATCACATTTACTGAATCCCATGTCATTAGCCCAATTGATTTGAATACTGCATTTACAGTATCACTTAATCCTGCTCAAAAATAGGGAATAGTATAGAATTATATCTAACTATTAGTTTAATTATCAATGATTATTGTACTTGTGTAATAGTGACAAATACTTGTAATAATAAATATTTAAATTAGAAAAGAAGATATGTAATATATGCATATATAAAAATAAACGGAAAATATATCTAAACGAATAAGATAGTACTCTGTTAGATCCTTATTGTCGGCCGTTTTGATATATATTTTGTACACAGTCATTTAATTATTTACCTTTTCATAACATAATAATTATTTTGCCTTTACATATTATATAGATTACTATTAATTTAACTATGAAATACTGTCGATCTTTCTGATACTCGTTAACACGCATAGTCGATTTAAAAATCGATTTCTTTGGCCTATAAACATGTACGTAGCGATACCTAGATACGAAACTCATCGAACAGTAATCTAACATACTTTGTAAACACGTCCATTGATAATATGATTATTTGATTGGTGGAATCAGTAAGCATCATACTCTCATGAATATTTTATGATATTTTAATTCTAAATTGAGTTTCTGTTGATCTATCATAATGGTTATACAATATTGATGGATTAACCTTGTGACGTTCTAGCTGTCAAATATTAATAACTTATATTTTTAAAATAAATAGTACAATTCAAAGGATATTGTAAATATAAAAATATATATATATATATATATATATATATATATATATATATATATATTACGTACATAACCTAAAGGTAAAATGAAATATTGGATATATTTATCTTTTTTTAAATTATTTAAAGAAATCAACGATTAACATGTTATTAATTAATTATTTGTGTATTTAGTTTCAGTTATACCTAATGAAAATAAAGAAGACGAAGAAAGGAATAAAAAATTCAACAATATCTACTAGAAGAGGAAAAAAGGATGAATATATTGAACAACAAAATTTTGGAGACATTGGTTAATAGTAAGAAGAATGACGATTGACAGAATCATATATATTTATATATATATATATGATTCTAAAGTCCATGCTTTTAATAATTAGGAAATAATGAGGTTTAAAAAGCCGATGATATTGAAATGAGTGATAGTGATATGAGTCAAAAAGAATAGAAGAAATCATGAATGAAGAAGCTAAAGGAAACATATCTAGAATTTTTGTTGTATTTAAAAGAAAATGATCAAATTCTATTAGATTTATCTGATTTATCCAATAGTAATAATGAATCTGATGGTGAATTACATCATAAATTTAATGATAAGTTAGAAGTATAAAAATATTATATATGTTTAAAATACTAATACAAAAAAAGAATATGTTTTAATAATATACATTTATAATTTATTCGTTATAAAATCATAGATTGCTAGCGATGAAAATGATTTTGACTCTGAAGATACTAGTGGTATAACATCTCATGATCTGGAATAAGAGTTACGCTATAATTAATAACAGTTTGGTAGAATAATATTCAAATTGACAAATAATGTTTTCATATATTTTTAATTATCAAAATAACTATGTATTATCAATATATTATAGTTTATTTATAATCTTATTTGTTTAGAACATTCAAAATTGCACTCGAAATTCCTTATGCTATGTCGCAAACCGTATCGGAAACGCAAGATAAAAGTGCTACAAAATTTAAAAAAGAAGAAAATGTAAGTAGGCTTTATCAAGTAATATATATAATTAATGTACTTGTGATTAGCAAAATTAGCACCTTAATCATAACAATTTCAGTATTTCATTGAGTCATTCAATTGTGTATATTGCATTTATCTTATATATTGCATTCAGACATTGGCCATTTAATGTTTCCCCGTTTTTTATGTTCCTTGTATAATATAAATAAGTTATCATGTTATTCTATTATTTTCCATAGATGATAATATGTTGTCCAATTTATAAATATATATTTTACAGTAGAAAGTATTTTTCAACAACTGTCATGTCGCACTTTATTGTAAGAAAGTAAAGTAATTAATAGAAAAAAAAAAATAGAAGAAAATTCAAAACATATAGAAAGTGAAAGAGCTAAGGATATATTCGATTTGAAAAATATGATAGAAATCGAAAATTGTAAAAAATAGAATGAGAATTCAGGGTACAGCTTCAGGGAAATTTTATAATTCCTTGATTAAAATTCATCAAGCTCAGAAACTTAAACATATAACGAAAAATGATAAAATTAGTGAATAAAATTTAGCAAGTTTAAGGGAACCAAGAAGGAAGAAGTTAAATAAAAAAGGTATAGTAACTTTGAGTTACAAATAAAAGGAATAGAATAAGAGAAAGCAAAGGATATATTTCTAAAGAGATCTAATAAAAATCAAAAATAAAAGTGATAAATCAGAAAGTATCTGAAATAGACGACGCACAGAAAATACAGATATTGTTACGAATATTAATAACGATGACTGGTAACAAAATGTTGCAATATGTAGAATAAGTGTAATAACAATTGTGATAACAATTTCAATAACTTTGTCATTATAAAGAAAACAAAAATCTAACTTGAAATATACTTGATACAAGTATCAAATATTTTGAATGTAAATCATTTGTTGATTTCTTCATTGGCATTTCAAACTATGTTTAAGCATTTACAAAATATACATATACAACAAAACACGTATTTTATTTAGTTACTCCAGAATACTATACGTTCAAAGGAATATCATTGTCTTCTTTAATTTCCTTTCATTCCTTTTAATCCATACTTTATCAATATCTCCTTAATTCTAACAAACAGGATTTATTTTCATAGCTATGATGAATTCTTTCACCGAAACAAGGATAACTGGCCCAAAATGTAAACTTTCTTAGAGAGTCGTTTGGGCCAAGTCTGCGAATAAAGTCAAACGTATGAAGTCAGAAAGAGGAAGAAAGAGAGAAAGAGATAGAGAAACTTGGCGTGACGACTTACCGTGATCGCTACGGTGTAGCCAATAATAACAAGTCTACTCCTAAAGTATCAAGTCCAAATGAAATTCCCGGATAGATGCCATCGATGATAGTTTTCATAAATCTTAAATGAAAATACAATATTCTGACCTACGAAAGATAATGTTGAAAAATCGAAATAACAAAGATCCATATAAATGCCTTGTTAATGTTTAACAAGATTATTAAATGACGATTAAACGAAAAATGTGTAATGTCGTTTCCTTTCTCATATAAACAATCTTAATACAAAAAAAGCGAAATAAAAACCAAAAGAATTACCATTGCTTACCGACCAGACCCTTAAAATATCTTTATCAGTATTCTTTTTTAATATGAGTCATACGATATAAGTAGATTAATGTCTTTAGAGAAATCGATGTTATTCAGTTAATTTGTCTAGTAAGAATTATTAGAAAAGGTTTAATCGATCAATTTAAAACCCGATCATCCTCGCTTTGTAAATTACAAAAGAGCAGCAAATTACACATAAAGGACAAAAAAAGGAAAAAGAAAAAGAAAAACATCACTAAAACGTCAAATAAATACATTTTGTAGATGTTTCCTCGAATCGTACATTAGAATAATCATAGATAGAAGAATTATTATTTTCTCTCACTCCTTTGCGTAGTGTTTTAAGCTCTTCCCTCCAATACGTGATGTATCATTGCCATTTTTTTATTTAAGTTTTGCGATCTACGTACCATAAAATTGTTATTGCTCAAACGATAAGTGTAAATTTATATATTGTACATTAACCTTCGTTTTTAAATCATTATTGAAGTTACGCTGCATCAGGATTCCTGCCGTCCTGACGCGTGTTGTACTTGCGTATCTACAATATGTATGCGTATTTTTTAATATCAGACGATATTTTACTAGATAATTAGAGTCGCTTATTAGAGTATAGAAGTATAAAGAAAAAGAAAGAAAAATTTTAGAGCGGCATTCTTGACGTCGGTTATCGCAATGAACAATCTCTGAAAGAAATAAAAGCACTTTCATGTAGTGATGACTTTGAATTTGCTAACTCAGCCAATTTTATCCTCTTACATTTCCTTTCTCGGCATGTTCACTAGTAAATAACTTCGATTAAATGATTATATAATTTTTTTTCCTTACTACATATATTTATATACTTATAATAAATTCATATTTATTGTATTTCTTTTCGTGTATAATGAAAAATATCCACGAAAAATTTAATAATGATCCGACAAAAGTCATAAACAGGGTATACATTAATTTGTTGTTAGTATTAATATTGACAATTGTTAAACACATTAATAATTTCTTAAATTTGCATATATCGTTTTATATCATATATCTATTTGGTTAAGTAATTTTTATAAAGTTAAAAATACCTTAAGATGTTATAAAAGCTACATTGTCAAGCATTGACTAGATCGCTACTAGTATTATTTCGAATGAATTGCTTGGATAATTGCAAATTTTTGGGAATTAAAAGGATATTGCTGATAAGATTATTAATCGCATGGACAATAGCCATCCCGACGTTTAATGCGGTAATGATCTTAGGTAATGAGTAGAGCATTCATTCAAACTAAAAATACGATTGCATCCTAGGAATTTATTTTTCCCATTTCAAAATAATCGAAAAGCAAAATAAACAGTAACAAATTCAAATGTTTTATAAGGTAATTAAAATAATGCAATTTAATTAAATTATTATAATATTATAAAATTTCAAGTTAGTCTTAATAATAGTATCTAGAATTTTGTAATGAACATCGTACAATTAACATATTCTTGTAATAGTTAATAACATTAATAAGAGAAATATCTTAAATAAATGTATTCAGGATATAATATTTTATAATTATTAAATTATAATATACATATAAATAATTTGCCTGGGTGATATGTGTGCAATATCCGGATGAAACTTAAATGATAAAGAAATTTTCGACCTATATGAGTATTTAAGTTAATTTTACAATACTCTTTCCTATCGTTTCTTTAATATAATGTTACTTCCGTTATATCAGCGATCTTTGGAGTTTGTTGGATGACGTTGTTATCCTACGACATTTACAACTGAAAAACTTTCGTATTATTGATATTACAATTTATAACCATGAAACTTTAGAAGTATAGTAACACTCGAGCATACGAGTAGTAAGGATAGTTAATCGATAATTTTTTGTCGCCTTGTTTGTCCCCTAAGGAAAAAGTACCAATCTTTTTACGATAATAAATTCAGGATTATTATTCAGGTTTTTTGTAGGTAAACTAGCGACAGCCAAGTTAGTTACCGATATGAGAGCGTTACGATTTCTTTCGATGGTAGTGGCAACACTGCATGCTGGTAATTAATATAACTGATTCCCTCTTGAATGTCGTTAATTAATTAAAATCAAATAATAAAGTTTTAGATACAAGGTATGCTTTTATTTATATAATTATTTTCTTTAATACATATATACGCACGCATACATACACATGTGTGTAGAAGCGTGTGCATTCGCGTATGTTTATAATCGTGGCTGTGAAATTGTTATATGGTAATAGCATATAAAATATATTTTACGTACGATTGTAAATTTCATCGAAATACCGTATTCAATATATTATTCAAACGCATATGTTGGACGTTTCTTTCTATATATTGGGAAATATTTGTTTCGGGGTTATGCGGAAAGTTCGTGCCGATTTTTGATTGGTGGCGTAAGGACTAAATCGGCACGATCTTTTCGGGCCACCCAATAAAATTATTATATATGTCCCTGTAGTAATTAACAATATTTGCGGGAGAACGTTATTAACGTGTACTTAGTATTAAAATATGTCTCGATAAATATTTTTATTTTTATTTTTAGTTGAAGTGTTTTATTAGAAGTTTCTATGTTATAAAGATACAGTAAAACTGTAATAACAAACAAAATAATTGATCTTTGAAATTTTATCCTATATTCTAATATGGCTCTGGTTCGTGAATTCAAAAAATCATTGGAAGCTGCAAATACTAATACGGACTTTAAGGACCTATCCAGAGTAAGTAATATTTAACAGTATAGTGGAGTTTTAATGCTTATGACTTTAAAGTACTCTCCATCTTTTTCTTTTTTCGTTATTCTTATTTTTCTATTGCGCAAACATAGAAAAAGCTTTTGTCTTTATCCCATGCATCTCTATTTTGAATTAATTCCTTTACATAATATATTTTTATATAGTAATTGCTCAAAGCTATTCATTTTCTTCATTGCAATTGATATTTTGCGAATTATTGCTTAATGAACAGTTGATTTTATGTTTATATCAATGTGATATTTTTATTTCTAACAGCGTCGAAGTTTCTAGATAATATATGAAAAAATAATACGTAATATTTACATTGCAAGCAATAATTTGGTTTCCAATTAAATTTTAGATCTTAAATTAACTTAATTGCACTTTTTTAGTTTAGCGCAGAAGAGAACTTGATAAAACAAGAGCCACATGATAGAAATGATGCAAAGTCATATGATACTTGCGTGCCAACTATGAAAAAATCTGAAGACATTAACTCGATTAATATAACTGAAGATAATATCGGTGCGAAAGAAAATATTTGTCCTCCGACTGAGAACCTCTGTAATGTAACGACTAATTCAATCGAATATTCTTCGATGGATCATGCGGAAACCGAAAATGTAAAGCGTATTCGTCAAGAAAAAGATTTCATTGTAATTGATGAAAACAATGAATACGAAAAAACATTAACAAATCGTAATGATATTAAAAGATCCAATAAAGAACAACGAAAAGATATACGAACAATAAAGGAAAAGAAGATTGTTTTTTATTGCAAGATATGTTTTTTGTCTTACGACAATTTGAATCAGCTTAAACGGCATAAAAATTTTTATGCCAGACAAAATAATTATCCTTGTTCTAGTTGCTTCTCGAATTCTTGCTCACATATTAGACTGAAGTTTGATAAAAACGTGCCGAAATCTTCTAAATATTGCTGTCATTTTTGCAATCGAATGTTTCGAAGGAAAATAATTTTACAAAGTCATTTATTTCACGTTCATGGAAAGCAAATAAGAATAAACGTTGTAAGCGATTCATTTTCAATAAATCATTCAACTATTTCATATTCTGGTACATCAAGGAAGAGAAAAATGAGACAGA